AGTAAGAGAAATCGACGATGAGGCTAGCGATCATCCCAAGTCGGATAGCGATGAAGCCAGCGAACTACGGAGCAACAACTCGTAAGTGATGGCACTTGTTGTTTCATTCAAATTCATTTATATCCTCATTTCTACAACTGTATGTATTGTACATACAACAATTACCAATCAATTACTTTAATTCATCTCATACTATAACATTTCAAAATCTAATCAACACTGAGAGAAAAAAATTGCATGTGCTAGAATGATAATGTGGTACTGTTCAGTTGTCTGGAGACTTTTTACTGTTTGTACAATATAAATAACTGTCCAGAATGGTAAAAATTACGTCACCAAAAGTAAAAAGATCCTAGATGTAACTAAACTGTCATTTTAGCACAGTAAATGTTATTTTTGTCTCTATCAGTAGTAGAAAAATAAGGTAAATGTTTATTTTCGTTTATTGTTTCCAGAAATTGCAGCATGTAGCCTCTATGATGGTGCACTTCTCAACAATGTAGTTTCAAGTCCACCTAATTTTACTATCAATTTATACATATATTTTCTATACTGCCCACCTACCTACTACTGATACGCGTTCGAGTACTCTACATCTGATATGTGATACGATGCAGCGATACGGCAATATGACTGCTACTCATAATTCTTGCATTAATAATAAATTTATTGCTAGGCTTAAAATAAAGAAAAATGTGTTCAATGTGATGAATATTTATTAAACATAATAATTGTTGCGTAAAATAAAATTAAATATATTCATTTTGTCACAAAATGTGATTCGTCCGAAATCTTGTTACTCCTTGCGCCTGACCCCGTTGATTCCTTTTCCAAATGGAGATGCGTTAGTAGTTGTCAAGAAAAAGGTGCCAGATCTGTAAAGTTGACGAGGAAAAAAAAAGCAACTGAATTTTTTGCCATAAATTTATAGACTCACGTATTCTTCGGCATTGCATATCCCATATGGACGATATTGTTATTGTCGCAGAGGCCCTGCTGAAAGGATGCCAGAGAATTGCAAGCAAGTGCCGGGAAAGCTTCGTTGTGAACGACGGACTCGGCGTAGTAGCGCCAGGACCTCCAGTGACTGCACAGATCTGAAGACAAAAGGTTTATTCATTATTCTGGGCAAGCCTCAGCTTACCTTTTGTTGATTTAGAAGAGCATATAGTTTGCGGTGCTCTGTGAGTTGTTATACTTGCATTTTCGCGAGTGTGATGTATAGTAAGAAGTTTCTTACTTAAGTGTTCTCTTACTTTTTAAATTTGAATGTTCATACTTTTTATTCATATACTTAATATACATTTAGAACTAAATTTACTCGACAAATAGAGTGATTATTTTTACAAAGATCGCTTTTCGGTGGTAATGATAGTTTTCGTACCTGGTGGCGCATGTCGCCAGGGCGAGCACTAGGCCCAATGGACCTGTCAAGCAGGGCCCAAGGGACTTTTTGAGCTCTGCGAACCCCATTTTTCTACCGAGGGTGCACTAAATGTCCAAATGTTAAAAAAAAACGCCCAAGGTAGGAAAAAGAATTTTTTAACTTTTTTTAAATGCCTAATCTTTACGTACAGACATCCACTCAACATTTATTATTACAAAACTTTTTTTGCTTAAACTTTTTCTTCAAATACTGAGAAATAACTGGAAAATATCAGTTTTCAAATTTACTTTTTAATAAAAAGTCATAAAACGAACTTTGTCCAAACTAACTGGATTAACGACTCTCTACGTGTATCAACACAAGGTGTTGTAGGAAAGCAATAAAAGATTAATTCATCAATACGCAGGTCAACAATCAATAGTATTATTAAATGAAACAGTTATCCTAGACAATAGGCTTGTTTTGTGTACTAATTCAGTATAAGTTATGGCTCCCGAGAAGACGTAGTAAATATTGTAACATGGTATACACGTGCACTATCATACCTGCTCATACTAAGTATACCTTTTAGTATTAGAGTTCTCTTAATGTTAAACTTGGACACGTGTCGCTTGATTTTTTTTTTTAACGAATTTTTATGAAGATCCCAAAAAATACTCTAGTACAATTAAAATTTATCTATAAATATTATCTATATACCAGATGTCGGAATGACAGTGTCGTACGTAATTTTACTTTTTCACGCTTTTACTCAGTGAAGTCGATATTAGTCCAAAAGTGAAACTAGAGATTGTAAAAGAGACTGAAATACATATATTGAGGTCGAACCGTAGGTAGGTTTTTTTAAATTATTTCTTGATGGAAAATATTAAGGTTTTTTTACTAAAAAATCGACTTTTATGATTTTTAATTTATTTTTTTTATAATTAAAAACTTTCCACTAACTTTTGAAAGTTTCGGAAATATTTCGGTTAGTCGACAAGAAATGTTCGTACGTTTCCATTCCATAGAAGTAATTTTAGTTGTAAAATCATAAGCAAGCGAAATAGGTTAATCTCATGATGTCACCAACTTCTTGTATACAAAAGATACAAACTACTTTATCAATAGAGTAACTTTTATAAAATTATACCGATCTATAAGATACGTCGTAACAAGGGCCAATTGGCTTAAGTACCTTATTTATTCTTTTATTCGTGCAATGGTTAGATAATGACATGTATACCCTATAATCACGAGTTTTATCGTTGAAAAAAGTTGTATGTCAATCAAATGCTGAATAAAAGTAATTTTTTTAGATTTTGTTTTAGTTTTGCACTATCTGCACCTATAGTCACTTTTTTTAAGCCATATATTTAAGCAACATTGATGTATTATTAATTAATAGCGGATCCACATTGTTGAAAGTTTTATCTCACAACATTAAACTATGTCTTAACATCGTTGTAATACTGTATAATAATAATACAACAATATCCTTGTATTTCAAATATGTTGGAGCAATACTGTGTACTGTAATAAAAAATATACTACGATAGCTCTTCAATATTGTACATATATTATATTGACCTGCAACGTTGTGGTGTACATACATATTATATGTCTTTAATATTATTGAAATGGTACAAAAATAGAGTTTATCAATTGCAGTTGTAGTAAATTTCTGTAATATCACACTGTAGTATTGTGTTTATTACATTATCTGCACGAGTATTTGTCTGAAATATACTTTTACTGTACGTGACATTGACATTTCTACAGTTGTAGCATCTGATTTCCGCAAATTATTGCTGTAATTCTCCGACACTGAAATATGAAAGTAAATCTAAATGATACATATTTATAGACTAATATTATTTGTTGTTTTATAACATAAATCAACTATAAAAGTTTACCAGATAAGTCAACTACTATAATTGA